ACACCTCCGCAACAAATAGCAGAACACAACCTGACACACCTACCGTACAGAAATTGGAGCCCAATTTGCGTGCAAGGCAAAGGACGCCGAGACGACTGCAAGAAACAACAATCACGACGACCCATAATTCAAGTGAACTTTGCCTGCATCAAATCACAGCAAGATCTGAAGACCATACCAGTCTTAACAGCAGTTGATGTTGCTACGTAACTGTGCACGGCGGTAATGGTGCCAGACAAAGAATGGATGATGGACTACATGGTCAACAACCTACAAGCAATCATCTTTGAGCGCGGAAGAACACAAGGCGTACTACAAAGCAACACCGAGGACACACTCAACGTGCTTGTAAAAGCAACAGCGTCCAAAGTTGGCTCAATGATTGTAAGGAACTCGTAAATGGCTACGTACGTCACCCACTCCGACGGCTACACAAGCTTCGAACGCCGCTGGGGAAGAAACTACGAGCGAGCGATTTGCGAGTTTGGCGAAACGCTAGTTGACCTTCCACCGCAACACAAGAAACTTCCGGAAGCCAGCCTCCGAACGCAGGAGTGCAGTTGGCTCGGAAAAGCTTCCGAAACCGGAGAAAACTTGAGACACGCAACTCCAATCGTCAGAAAAGAGACAATCTACACAAGACGCCGGACAACAGACCCCGACGTCAACTTCACAACCGCCAGACAAACACACAGACACACACACAGACTGACAGACAGAGACAGACACACGGACACAGACGCTTAGACGCAGACACGCAGCACCCAGACCCGCAGACCCGCAGACACGCAGGCACAGTCACACAGACACACACAGACACACAGGGACAGACGCACAGAGACACACAGACACACACACAGACACACACACACACACAGACACACACACAGACACACAGACACACAGACGCGGAAAGACAAGACTGACACAGACAGACACAGACAGTCGTTTGTAGTGCCAAACGCGTATGCCAACTCGCTGTGTGAGCCGTTGTAGTGTTTCTTTGTTTTGTTTTTGGTGAACAAATCTGCGCCGTTGTGAAAAGTGTTGGTTTTGAGGATTCTAGCCATGTCGTGTTTGATGAGGTCTTGTGGGTCGAGAGTTCAGTAGGTGCTGTGAGGTCTCGTGCTGGTTTCTTGTTGCGTAGGCAATGTGTGGTGGTGCGTATGCTAACCCATCTCACCGAGTCGGACACGGACCCGATAAAGACCTACTGGAACGACAACAGCTGGGATTGGAACGACAACGGCTATGAAGATGCAGCAAACTACATTGGAGGCATCAGTCACTATGTGGGAAAAGAGCATCGCGCGCAAGATTATGGAATGACCGCAGCAACAGCTTCCAACCGTACTTACGCAAGTACAGACACACCACGACTGCGCTTCGACATAGCGGCAGCAACACTAAAGCAGAAACAGCAGAGGACTGATGACAACATGTCTCACTACATAGTGAACTCCAACTTCAAATCCTTTCACCGCCTACTGATTGACTCGGGAGCATCTACACACGTTTGCCCAAAGGACTACGGGCCGGATCTACCACTACGATCTTTGCCGAGAACCAGTTCCACAAGATTCCTGTCTACGGCGCCAAGTATGTTCGACACAAGCAGGGCAACTTCAGGATCACGATGCCCTTCTACGTTTGTGATGTGAGGTATCCTACTCTCACGCGACAACAAGCGCACTTCCTCAAACCCTCAGGCCTTTACGACTTGCGAGCAGAAAAGATCGACGCACCTACAGGACACGACATCTACCCAATGACTACACACACGGGGAATTCATTGCAGTGATTCAAGCTACAGAGAAAACATGATAACAGCAACAAGAACCACTCACGCACAGATCAAGGACCAAAGCGAACCCGAGGTGGAAACAGACCAAGGGAAACCCGACGATGACTACGCCGCCCGAGCCCACACACGACCGGCAAAGCACTCGTCGCTTCACACAACGCGGTTGCCCAACACCACTTGAACAACTGGATGATTGCCGGCTGACCATCGTCGACAGGCAAGGACAAGAGCAAGAACAACTACAAGAGAACACCAAACATCCCTTCCAAACAAGAACTACAAAGAAGACTTGAAGGTGATGACGGGAGTGGAGTAGCCAGATTCTGAAGACAAGTCCCACCTACACACCGGGTGACAACAGACTACACCACCGCGACGGAGCTCTGCGCCACAAACCGCCAGAGAGACACCACCAACAAGACCAAAACTCTCCGCCAAACAGATTTAGACCCAAAGCAGCACCTTCCACAGACGTAGGCGTCACACAACCACAAGCAACAACACACAGACTACCAACAGCGCAAGAAGACAACCAAGACTATTGTGAAAGACAAGGCGCCGCACAGGGCTCCAAACTGCATCGCTCACACCCAGAGATGGACCGCGATGAGGAACAACATCATGAACACGAAGCGCGCAAAGCAAGAGGACTACGACAGCCTCAACAACCAACTCCACAACAAATAGCAGAACTCAACCTAGCACTTACCATGCCGAAAGTGGTGTCCAATTTGCGTGCAAGGCAAAGGACGCCAAGACAATTACAGCAAGCGGCAATCGCGGCAACCCGTCGTTCAAACAGATTTTGCCTACCCAATCACAACCGGTTCGTCGGTGTGTCTTCGCGACTGTGCATGGCGTACTGGTTCTGGACAGCCATCAATGATGGACCGCGTGATGAACAACTGGCAGGCATTCATCTGCGAACGCGGAAGAACACAAGACTGTACACTCACCTGCCTGTAGCAGCAACAGTCAAGCTTCTTGGACAAACGCGCGCTGTCGCTGCACAAGTTGAGAGCAACTACAGCATGACAATGTCAACAAAGCGCTGTCTACTACCTTGTGTCGCGCGACACGCAGCAGGGACAGTCAATCGCTACGTTGCCACTCCGACGGCTACACAAGCTTCGAACGGCGACGAGGAAGAAACTACGAACACGCAAGTTGCGAGTTTGGCGAAACACAACTCTACCTTCAACCGCAACATAAGACACTTCCGATTGCAGAAGTGCAGTTGGCTCGAAAAGGAGCGAACTACGTTGCGACGGAACAAGGTGACGACTACAGCCAGACACCAAGTATGACCTAGCGGGGTCACTGGCGCGCCTTGGGCGCCACGAGGCGAAGTTTATAACCCGTCGTTCGCGACACTGCTGGACACGCAACTTGAACCGTCAGAGCAAAAGAGACGAACCACACAAGACGCCGGACAACAAACCAACGTCGCAGACGACATGGTCACAGAACCGGCAACGAAACAACAGCGTGTTACAGTCCCATGGCCACTTCACTGACCGGACAGCGCACCCAACAGCAACTACAGGGAACCATGCCTGTGCGTCCCATCAAAAACATTCAGAGGATCAGGAGATCAGGCCAACTGCTGAGGAACTACCTCGATCATCGAAGTACACTTCACGCACTTCATGAAATGTAAAGGGGCTACACTACATCATCAGCTCCACTCAGTCGACTACATCCGGGACTGTGCCTGAACAGCGCGCGCTTTTAATAGCTATGTCTTTCCACTACAGTAGAATGGTTGAACAGCCACGCCTTCACCACTACTCTCAATCTCTTTTGCGCAACAGTTATAGGATATTGCAAGACCTTACAACTGAGAGGCCGTGTGAACGCACATAGTGTACCACTTGCTTGATGTGCAATGTATACACTATCCCAGGCCTCGACTCTTCTACTAGATGCGAGCCGCCGGAGATTATAATTTGCGCACTACAGGTTTGACTGCTTGTGAGAACAACAGCGCCTGCACTTGTACTAATTGAATTTGATTTTAAGGCGAGAGGGAGAGAGAAAGGGAAGGTAGATTCAAGGAGCGATGAAGAAAATCCCAAGACAGAGGAGGAGAAAGAGAGGGGGAGAAAGGTTCAAACAGAGAAGAAAAGTTGGGAGGCAAGGAGGGTGGACCAGCAAGAGGAAGGGGAGACGTGTGAAGAAGAAGAAGAAGAAGAGGAGCCGCAGCAGAACAGGCTTGGCGCAACAAATGTGAAGAGCAACGAGGATTGCTTCGATCAGATTTTGACAGGTGCCACGCCTGCCACTGAGCCTTCGAAGGCAAGGGAGGGGTAGGCGGCGATGTCAGGCCGATCGGCGTTCTGCACGCTCCAAACCTCGCAAAGAGCGCTCGTGAGCTTGAGTTCTTGCGTCAAGTTAGATTGTCGATTGTGATTCCATCCCCCGAGGAGCACGAGCGGATGATGTTGCAGAAGGAAGAGGAGTTTGAGCTTTGCTGCGCAGAGCGTGTGAAAGCGCTTGAGGCGCGGGAAGCTGCAACGGTCGAGTCGCAGGCAGCGGTGAAGCAACATGATGCTCTTGAACAAGAGGTTCAAGAGCAGATGCGTGTGCTAGAAGAGCGCAAACGGATGATGTTGCAGAAGGAAGACGAGTTTGAGCTTTGCTGCGCAGAGCGTGTGAAAGCGCTTGAGGCGCGGGAAGCTGCAACGGTCGAGTCGCAGGCAGCGGTGAAACGCTTGTAATCTTTCTTGAACAAGAGGTTCAAGAGCGGATAAACCAATAACAGAAGAAGCGCAAACGGATGATGTTACCAGAAGGAAGAGCGGTTTGAGCTTTGCGCAGAGCGTGTGAAAGCGCTTGAGGCTCGGGAAGCTGCAATGGTCGAGTCGCAGGCAGCGGTGAAGCAACATGATCTTCTTCACGGGTAAGAGTTCAAGAGCAGATGCATAATCTTCAGAGGGCGCAAACGGATGATGTCTCAGAAGGAAGAGGAGTTTGAGCTTTGCTGCGCAGAGCGTGTGAGAGCGCTTGAGGCGCGGGAAGCTGCAATGGTCGAGTCGCAGGCAGCGGTGAAGCAACATGATGCTCTTGAACAAGAGGTTCAAGAGCAGATGCGTGTGCTGGAAGAGCGCAAACGGATGATGTTGCAGAAGGAAGAGGAGTTTGAGCTTTGCTGCGCAGAGCGTGTGAAAGCGCTTGAGGCGCGGGAAGCTGCAACGGTCGAGTCGCAGGCAGCGGTGAAGCAACATGATGCTCTTGAACAAGAGGTTCAAGAGCAGATGCGTGTGCTAGAAGAGCGCAAACGGATGATGTTGCAGAAGGAAGAGGAGTTTGAGCTTTGCTGCGCAGAGCGTGTGAAAGCGCTTGGTAGCGGGGAAGCAACGGTCGAGTCGCAGGCAGGCGGTGAAGCAACATGATGCTCTTGAACAAGGGTTCAAAGAGCAGATGCGTGTGCTGGAAGAGCGCAAACTGTTGCAGAAGGAAGGAGGAGTTTGAGCTTTGCTGCGCAGACGTGTGGGAAAGGCAGCAGAGACGCGAGGAAGCTGCAATGGTCGAGTCGCAGGCAGCGGTGAATCAACATGATGCTCTTGAACAAGAGGTTCAGAGCAGATGCGTGTCTGGAAGAGCGCAAACGGATGATGTTGCAGAAGGAAGAGGAGTTTGAGCTTTGCTGCGCAAATCGTGTGAGGCGCTTGAGGAAATCGGGAAGCTGCAATGAGATCGAGTCGCAGGCAACGGTGAATCAACATGATGCTCTTGAACAAGAGGTTCAAGAGCAGATCGTGTGCTAGAAGAGCGCAAACGGATGATGTTGCAGAAGGAAGACGAGTTTGAGCTTTGCTGCGCAGAGCGTGTGAAAGCGCTTGAGGCGCGGGAAGCTGCAATGGTCGAGTCGCAGGCAGCGGTGAATCAACATGATGCTCTTGAACAAGAGGTTCAAGAGCAGATGCGTGTGCTGGAAGAGCGCAAACGGATGATGTTGCAGAAGGAAGAGGAGTTTGAGCTTTGCTGCGCAGAGCGTGTGAAAGCGCTTGAGGCGCGGGAAGCTGCAATGGTCGAGTCGCAGGCAGCGGTGAAGCAACATGATGCTCTTGAACAAGAGGTTCAAGAGCAGATGCGTGTGCTGGAAGAGCGCAAACGGATGATGTTGCAGAAGGAAGAGGAGTTTGAGCTTTGCTGCGCAGAGCGTGTGAAAGCGCTTGAGGCGGGAAGCTGCAATGGTCGAGTCGCAGGCAGCGGTGAGAACAGCATGATGCTCTTGAACAAGAGGTTCAAGAGCAGATGCGTGTGCTGGAAGAGCCTGGATGTTGCAGAAGGAAGAGGAGTTTGAGCATTGCTGCGCAGAGCGTGTGAAAGCGCTTGAGGCGCGGGAAGCTGCAATGGTCGAGTCGCAGGCAGCGGTGAAGCAACATGATGCTCTTGAACAAGAGGTTCAAGAGCAGATGCGTGTGCTGGAAGAGCGCAAACGGATGATGTTGCAGAAGGAAGAGGAGTTTGAGCTTTGCTGCGCAGAGCGTGTGAGAGCGCTTGAGGCGCGGGAAGCTGCAATGGTCGAGTCGCAGGCAGCGGTGAAGCAACATGGTGCTCTTGAACAAGAGGTTCAAGAGCAGATGCGTGTGCTGGAAGAGCGCAAACGGATGATGTTGCAGAAGGAAGAGGAGTTTGAGCTTTGCTGCGCAGAGCGTGTGAGAGCGCTTGAGGCGCGGGAAGCTGCAATGGTCGAGTCGCAGGCAGCGGTGAAGCAACATGTTGCTCTTGAACAAGAGGTTCAAGAGCAGATGCGTGTGCTGGAAGAGCGCAAACGGATGATGTTGCAGAAGGAAGAGGAGTTTGAGCTTTGCTGCGCAGAGCGTGTGAGAGCGCTTGAGGCGCGGGAAGCTGCAATGGCGAGTCGCAGGCAGCGGTGAAACAACATGATGCTCTTAGACAAGAGGTTCAAAGAGCAGATGCGTGTGCTGGAAGAGTAAACGGATGATGTTGCAGACCCTTTTCTTGGTTGCAGCGGTTAGCTATGGCTGAAGGCACTTGGTAGCGGCTTTCGCAGTTCTTTGAGCTAGAGAGAGTTCTTCAGCAGCAACAGTCTCGCGAGGAGTTGCCTGGCAAGGATGACGCTCAACTTCAGGGGCATTTATCCCAGCAATTGAGCAACTTAGAGGGGCGGGAAGCCCGACTCTTGCAGAAAGAGGCGGAGCTGGAACAGCGCCAGGTTGAGAGTGATAGACTTTTGCAGTCGCGTGAAGTTGCAGCAGCCGAACGAGAGGCCCAATTGAGAGAGATTCAGGCTGAGGAGGAGACTCGCAGGTCTCAAGACGACACAGTTCGCAGATGCTTTCACGAGGAGCTTGAAGAGCAGAAGCAGTTGTTGGCGGAGCGCGAGCAAGCAGCTTTGGAGCAAGAGGCAGCTTTGGAGAGAAGAGAGCTGGCCCTTGAGGAGTCTCAACAGGACTCTGAGGGACCCGCCACTCGCAACGATAGCGAGGCCGGTCATGCCGGTCATGTTCTGGAGGCTGTTCAGGGTTCTAGTTGCCACGTTTCGTAGTGGCATTCTAGGAGGTCAAGCGCCTGCACGACTCGCTTACGTTGGCGACGCAGGACCTGCAGGCACAGGGCCGCAAATCTTTCTAATGGCTCATTGGTTTGCGGGTTTGCGCGCTGGCAGATCAGCTTGCGTGGCGCTTGCTGTCAACGAACATTTGGTGCCCTTTTGGGCTTCGCTTTAGGTCTTTCTTCACTGCAGATGTAACAGGTCCTAGAAAGCGCTTTTCCCGCATGTTCTAGCCCCTCAACCCCAAAGAATGTTTTTCCCACATTCTTAGTGTTGCCGCTGCGCGCCCGCGGTCACGGGGTCGTCTGTGCATTCAATCCTGGTGTCGTTTCTGCATTCATCCTGGCGTCGTCTGTGCATTCAATGCTTTTTGGTGGACTTGATGATTTAGGTGATCGGGGCTGACAGCTTGTGCTCTCTTGGCATGGTAAATATGTCCTCCCCTAAAGAACAGAAATGACCTCAACATCGCGTGCGCAAATGACTCCCAGATTGCGTGCGGAGATGACTCTGCCACCGCGTCGGCCGTCCGTCGTCCGCCGCCCGCTGCGCCCGCTCGCTCACTCACTTGCTCGCTCACTCATTCACTCACTCACTTGCTCGCTCGCTCGCTCACTCGCTCACCCACTGACTCGCTCACTCACTCACTCGCTCACTCACTCACTCACTCACTCGCTCACGCACTCGCTCGCTCGCTCACTCACCCACTCACTCACTCACTCACCCACTAACTCACGCACGCACGCACTCACGCACGCACGCACTCACTCACTCACTTGCTCGCTCACTCATTCACTCATTCAATTGCTCGCTCACTCGCTCACTCGCTCACCCACTGACTCGCTCACTCACTCCCTCACTCACTCACTCGCTCGCTCGCTCGCTCGCTCACTCCCTCGCTCACTCACTCACTCACTCACTCACTCACTCACACGCTCATGGTGTCGAGTGCGCGGCCCTCGGGCGCAATTTGAGTGAGAGGCGCCGCGCTTTGGAGATGATGCAGCGATTTCGTGGCATGCGCAGTTTTTTCCGCAGCTGGGTGCGTGTTTGCGTTGCAGGGGCAACGTATGGCAGCTGTGTAAAGGGACTGGATGTTGTCGAGCGCACGCCCGGGGGCTCAAACAGGCCTGATTTTTTTGGCGCCTCCTGCGTCACAAACCTCCAAGCAGCCAGTGTACGCTCTTGTTCATGGACGTTCATCCACAAGATGCTGACCAACCCACATGCAACCTGAGTGCGGTGATGCGATTGGCAGACTCAGGCCCTCTTGGCATTGTTCGCAACAACTTCGCGACGCTGCTTGTGTGGACGGTGTCCATCGGTGCGCAAGGGTGACTTCATCTTCATGGATTTTGAACGGCGCATATTTCAGAGTTTGGCGTGGCGCTGTTTAGATCTGGCTTTCCTACGTCCAGCACTCAAAAGAACCCACGTCAGAACGACTGTTCAAGGACGCATCTGCGAGGCCGCAGATGACACCGAATAAAACTTCCTGCATAGATGGGTGGAGTTACAGACTTTCAGTCTTTTCGTGAAGGCCTCCCTTGCTTCGATTGCGTGCGTCCTGGCCTTCCTTGCCTTGCAGGCGGTTATCGCTGCGAGCCTGGTCGATGTGTCCGGAGATGCAAACATCACAAGACTCAACATCATGTTCATCTTCACTTCTCAGTTCACTTCGTCATGGAGTCGCTCATGAAAACGTTCATTTCAAAGCAAACTCTCGAGATTTCTGTCGAGTGTGCAGCTTCCCTGAGGTCCGTCTGAGAATCGTCCCTTGTGAAGAACGCGCCGCATTCTTTAACCATATGTTGCGACTGGGTGGCCATTTCATGTTCAGGACCGGCTACGCTCATGGAAAAGACTGCCTCCGGGTAGCGCGCTTGGACACTCAGAGGACTTCGTTCGCCTCCGAGATCTTGTTGTGGTAGCGGAGCCGGTGGAGACCGGCGCAGGGAGTTTGGTTTCGCCCTTGAGGAGCTCGGCGGCAGGATCATGCCCAAGGCCGAGGGAAAGGGCAGTGAGCAGCCCTCAGAGAATGCCTACACTGGCAAGGCGGACTCACACGTCCCGGTCTTCAGCAATCTGCAGAAGGACTACCGTGAGTACCGCAAGAGGGCCGAGCTCACAAGAAGAAGATGGAGCTTGCCGGGCGTCAACAGGAAGTGGTCTTCAACCTGGTGACGCTGATGACCGGCAGAGCTTGGGATCTGGTGGACGATATGGAGATGGCCGACCTTCAGAAGGAGGACGCGTTAGACAAGGTCTTCGCCCGTTTGGACCTGCCTTTAAGCCGGACCTGATGACGGAGCTTCGAGGCTTTCTTCGTGAAGCTGCAGCGGAAAGCCGGCCCTTCAGGAGTATCAGACCGAGTTCGGTCGGGTGGAGCGCAGGCTTCGGGCGTCGCATCAGGTGGAGCTGCCGGAGAAGGTCAAAGCCTGGTGGTTCCTGCGGAGGAGTGGCGTCAGCCGGGAGCAGCGCCAGATGGTCATGACGCAGATCGGCACTGAGCGCCTTAACTTAGCTGCCGTTGAGCGCGCCATGAGTTTCATCATGGGTCAGGACTCCAAGGTGGATGCCTCCCGCGGTGGCCATGCCAACAAGCAGAAGCCGACCTGCGACATGTTCTACTCCGAGGAGGGCATGTGGCAAGAACCCTATGAGCCGGACACCGACTACACCGGAGTGCACTGGCAAGAAGACGAAGATGATGGTTCGTACTATGACATTGCCAGCGAGACCGGAGGCCACTCGGACGGTGTCTACATGGCCCAGGATGAAGGCTTTGACGAGATTTTCGACGTGGAGGAGAATGACTCTACGCAACCTATGTCGAGGCCAAGAACTGCATGAACATGATGCGGACTTCCAGAGGTTTCTACCCGGTAGTCGCCATGGTCCCGGGTTCCGGAGGCCCCTTTTCTGGAAAGTCAGGGAAGGGACGGGGAAAGTCTCCGAAGGGCGGCAGCAAGAAGGGCGGCAAGAACAAGATGCCGCCGCAGAAGGGCAGTGCGAAAAGCAGGGCAGCAGCCGCTCTTGGCCGAAATCTGTGCCTGCGATGTGGGCAAGCTGGTCACTTTGCCCGCAACTGCCCCAGCAACTTGGAAAAGAAGCGGAAGGTTGATGATAGCTCTGACGCGGCCGTGATGATGGTGGAGGAACACTACGATCTGGCCGCAGAAGATGAGAAAGACGACACCGTCAACACCGCTGTGCAGGACGGTGGAGCCGCTTCGGTTCTGGGGAGCCGCCACTACATCCGGAAGTACATGCGTTACCTCTTGGAGAACGGCTATGACGTCCGCGAGATCGACATCTTCAGATGCCAGAAAGGCTTCAGGTACGGCAACTCCAAGAAGGAGGTCACCAACTTGTGTGTGCTGCTGCCGATCCACGTGGGGGCAGGAAGATCAAGGTGCTCACCTACGTGAACAAGGGCGCGGCACCGATCCTCTTCGGCAGGCCCATCATGGAGAAATTGGGCCTTCAGCTGGGCTACAGCGCGAAGAAGATGAAGTGGCCTAATCATGAGTGGCATGATGTCCCGCTGGGTCCGAAGGGAGAGTACCTTGTCAACCTGCTGGAGGACAATTCCATGCACCGGTTGATCCACGAGGAAATCGCTTTCGAGACCCTGATCCCGGAGGACTTCATGGACCACGTGGATTTTTCGGAGAAGTTGCCGCCCAGCGTCATCTTGGGTGAGATGGAAGAGTGCTTTGAGGAGGGCTGCCTCCTGGCCGAAGATTTCGGCATGACTTTGAAAGAATTGCAGGCAGAGGTCTTTGACAAGGGGGTCGAGACTCCCCCAGCCACGCCGGAGGATGCGAAAAAGGGCAGCTCAGAAGGGGGCTGCAGCCCGGCGTGTGAGGAGGAGAAGAAGGACGACCTGCACAAAAACAGCCCCTCGAGCTCTAGCGTGATCTGGGTGGCTCATGGCACGTCCCTGCTGCGGTGCTCGCCAAAGC